CTCTCATCAGTGTTTTATAGTTTTCAGCATACAAATTCTGTGTATGTCTTTGACATTCATACCTATTTCGTTTTTTGAAGGATTATAAATGGTATTATATTTTATTTTTTATTTCTGTATTTTTAGGATTCAGAAATAAAATTTAATTATTAAATTTTCATTAAGTAATATGGTATGTCAATCTTGTGTCCCGTGACCTTGCTGACTCATTTATTAGTTATCAGAGTTTTGCACTACACTCCTTAGATTTTCCTTGTGGACAGTCATGCCTTCAGAAAATAAAAACAGGTATCAAGTCCCTCCGCTCCCCACCCTTCCCCTTCTTCCTTCTCTCTTTTCTTTCAGTGGGATCTCACCACTGAAAAGATCACCTTTGATCTGATCAATAAATGGAACAGTGAAAATACTTATATTAGAAGTTTTAATGTAGCCTCCAAAATACTTACATTAAAATCAAGAACATGTCAAACTATCTACTATTAGTATTTCTGTTTAATATTACTTTTTTTGGTCCTGGTCCATATATAAAACGTGAAATGAAATTAAGGTTAGCCAAATTATAATTATTTTTGAATGATATGATTACATAGCACAAAAGCCTAAGAGCTTCAAAAAAGTAAACATTTAAGTAACTGGGTTGTATAATGGCCACTGAAAATTTGTGTACACCGGTTCACCTGGAATTTTAAACTCATGGTCACCTGGAATCTCAGCATGTGACCTTATTTGGAAATAGGGCTTTTGCAGATGTCATCTAATTAAAGTCCTGCTGGATAAAGGTCGGTCCTAATTCAGTGACTGGTGTCCTTATAAGAAGAGGGAAAATTGGACACAGACTGACAGAGAAAAGATGATGTGAAGACAAACAGGGAGAATGACATGTGATTGATGTGATACATCTACAAGTCAAGGAACACTAAGATGGCCCGTAGCCACCAGCAGCTATGAAGAGGCAAGGAAGGATTCTCCTCTGTAGCTATCAGAGAGAGCATGTTGCTGCCAACACCTTCATTGCAGACTTCCAGCCTGAAAAAGGCATCAGAGCAAAACTTTCTGTTGATGTAAGCCACCCAGTTTGTGGTACTTTTGTTCTGCAGGCCCAGGAGACTAATATGAGTCTCAAAGTGTCCCAGCTAAGAAAATAAGAAAGTGTCACACTCTGAATTGGAAACTAGCTTCTCTAAGCCTTTTGCTTGTTTGTCTTAACATCAGGATTTAAATCTTGTCCTGTATTATTAGCATAGTATCCTATAATATGTTAATAGTTGTGCCAAAAAAAAAGAGATTTCTTAGTCAAATAAGTTGGGAATATACTCTGTTGTATAAAGAAATAGCTTGCATATTGTGGGAAGTCTCAGAACCTTTAATATATTAGCATCCTTTAAAATCTTTCAAAGAAAGATAAAATTTATACAGCTGATCCCATTCATTTGATTGCAGAATCTTCCGTTGAATGTTAAATTGACATGTGTAGGACATTCACATTCAGAAGAAGAGTTAAAGAAGTGATGAACTACATCATGGTATAATACCTCAATAATCACACCAAACTGAATGACTGCTGTCTTCATGTTGCTACCTACTTAGGGAGGAAGGAGTCTCTTAGGGAATTTTTTTTATAGACACTTGTACTTTCTTATCCCATTGTATTTGTAAATTTGTTTTATTTTATCTCTCACTCCTAACTGCTGCATTCCACGTCATAACAGGGAATAGTACTAATGGAGCCGTGTCATACTCTTCTTCAGCTCAAAGCTCTGCAACTTACAGCGGAATACTAAGCATACTTTAACTCTGAACTTCAGCTTTCTCATCAACCCAAATAAGAATAATAACTATTATATAGAGACAAAGAGAGGATTAAATGAAATGGCAGATATAAAGAGAATGTTTTAGGACCTGGCACACATTATATTTAATACACAGTACCCCTCCCTTCCTATTTTCCTAAATGTGTTTTATTTATAGAATATGCTCAGTAAATTTATGTTGAATGAATACATAAATATAATGGTGAGATTTTAATTTTTTGAGTTTGATGATAGAACCTTAAAAGGAATTATATTATGTTCCTTCAAAATATGCTTTTGCAAATAAGACATACGTTATACCTATGGAGATACTGATCAATGGACAAATGACAGCATTTAGAAAGGTAGAAACTAGTTTGATTGATTACACAGCTGTGGACATAGGAGATCATTGTCTTCCTGATGGCACACCTGCCTGGCATTGGCATTAATTGCACCATGAAATGCCAGGAATTGGCATCAGCTCCCAAGACTGTTTGCTGCTTTTCTTACCTGGCGCCTATGGGAAATAATAGGGTATGAAATTATAAGTTGTTTCCCTTCATCACGGTGATGTGAAATTCAAATAACCTATGTTAGCTTATTTTATTTTCCCCACTGGTGTATTAGAAGTAAACTTTCCAAGGAAACATAGCTTCAAAATGAGGGAAAAGATCAAAAGAAAAATATGATTTACATCGTAAAGATCTATGTAGCAATGTTTACACGAATAAAAATATCAAATCTGTTTTTCAGCAGCACACATAATTTTCTTATATGAATGGCCTCTCTAGATGCTGCTCTATATGCTAATCTGTTGCTCACAGGCTGCTAAATTTTCCAACACAAGGCAACTGAATTATTTATTTCATTTTATAGTTCTTAACCAAGACAATAGTTAATATTCTAAACTAGATGTTGAGTTGGCGTTCATTATTATTTCCCAGTTCTTTGAAACGATATTTGGAACGTCAGTATTCCATACTACAAGAGGTTATAAGTATTAGAGTGTTTTCTAGGAAAAAATAAATTACAAAATATATAACAAATGACATTTGAACACTTAATTAGCAATTAGTTTTTAAAAAGGCATCCTCTTGATTTGATGACATAAATTATGGCAGAAAATTTATCTCTGTCCTTGAAGACACTACAGATGTGTGTTATCTTGACTGTTAAAACACTTTAGAAAAACAAATTATTAGTATTGATGTTTTCTTGAAGTAATCTTTTTTTCAGTTCTTTCAAAAGCTAAAATAATCATTTTCAGCTCTTTTTCTTTATTGTACAAGTTCCTCACTCAGAGGTATAATAAAGTTAGCTTACATTTCAGTCTTTTCTTACATATCCATAAATGACATGGAAACAATGGTAAAACTTGCATGTTTTCCTTTTTAATTTTTAAAATTTAGTTATTTTTAGAGACAGAGTCTCACTTTGTTGGCTAGGGTGGTCTTGAACTCCTGGCCTCATGTGATCCTCCCACCTTGGCCTCCTAAAGTGTTGGTATTACAGGAGTAAACCACTGCACCCAGCCTCGTATGCTTTCATATTCTCCACCTTATAAACTACAAAGAATACAGTGTTTATTTTGCATATTTAGACAATTTTATCTGACTTGGGATAACTTTAAGTGTGTATCCATACAGGAACAAACAAAAACCTCACTGATTTGATGCCAAGCACAACAGAACTTGGACTTTCTTAAAGAGTCATATATAATAAAATAGAGTAGATGATTTGTCCAGGAATTCCATTGCATCTGTGGGATTATCTGCCTTTCTTTGGCTTGTGCATTGGAGAGCAAGTCCCTGAGTATTTTGATGACAGAATCATTGTACTCTCCTTTGCCTTAAAAATGTGAGCAATTGTTCAAATGAGGTTTCTTTAAGAGAGAAACATTTATCTGAAGGCTTATCAGTATGCTATCATAAGTTCTTTTCAAGTATTTTAAATTTTGGTGCACTATCTCATTTATGATTTTACAGATTTTTATTTCAGTTATAATCTTCAAAAAACTTCATAAAGAATTGTTATTAAAGAATTCTAAACAGTACATTTTGTTACTTATGATTAAATTACTCATTTTTTGTTGTTTTGTTTTGATTTTGAGATGGAGTCTCGCCCTGTCACCCAGGCTGGAATGCAATGGCACAATCTCAACTCACTGCAACCTCGACCACCCGGGCTCAAGCGATTTTCCTGCCTCAGCCTCCCTGAGAGGCTGGGATCACAGATGCCCACCACCACTCCCAGCTACTTTTTTGTTTTTAGTAGAGGTGGGGTTTCATCATGTTGGCCAGGCTGGTCTCAAACTCCTGTCAGCAGGTGATCCACCTGCCTTGGTCTCCCAAAGTGCTAGGATTACAGGCATGAGCCACTTTGCCTGGCCTCCCTCATTGGTTTTATGCAGAATCATGAATAGTGATTTAAAAATGAAATATATCAAAAGTCCTAAATAGACAGATTTATACAGTGTGACAGCTTCATACTACAAAGCTCAGTTTTATAACATCTTCACTGCCATTTTCAGCTTTATAACTTACCTGAAGCATGATAAAAGATGCCTGTGTAATCACTACTATCTTGGAAATGAGAAAATATAACAACTTAAGCAATGACAGTAATAAAATACTTCAAAAAATACCTGGGAGATAGTTTGTTATTTAATACAACTTAACATATTTAATTTCTTTAACTTACTACAATAAGTTAATTCAAATTATTACAGCTTTTGCCTCACTTTTCTGTTTCATAATTTTCTCATCTCTAAAACATAGAGGTATTCTAAAAAATACTGTGATTAATGATAACTTTTGCTCAGGGCAGCATTCCCCAACCTAAAATGCATTGCAAAATAATAAACTTCATAAATTTCTTACCAAGACCTGAGAAGCATAGATGAGAAGTCAGAAGAAATAAATTACATTGACTAAATAGGTATTTAGAGGAGGAAATGTGTGAAATGCTAAAATAGTTTATCAACTTTGAAACTGGGATCAGATTTGTAGGGAAATGAACTTATATAACCCATGGAAATAGCTGTGTGTATAGCAAACCAAAATAGTCTATTTCTGTGTTGCTATCAGGATAGCATTACAAGGCTTCAAATATTACATGATACAGTGAGATTACTGCAATTTTAACTTGTATGTTTTAAAGTCAGCAAACTTCTATTTTCTGTATCATTTATTTGGAAATATTTTCCAGGTACCTCCAGTGGGCGCTGTGATTTCGAATTTGATCTTTGCTCCTGGGAGCAGGAGAAAGATGAGGACTTTTACTGGAATCTGAAAGCTAGCAGCATCCCCGTAGCAGGCACAGAGCCAGCAGCAGATCACACCTTGGGAAATTCATCTGGTCATTACATCTTTATACAGAGTTTATTCTCTCAGCAGCCCATGAAAGCAGCCAGAATTTCAAGCCCCGTTATAAGCAAGAGAAGCAAAAACTGCAAGGTATGGGGAAAATCAAACCAGTCAACCAAAAAAGTACAGAATTATTGTGAGCAACTGTTGATAAATTTATGTACAGAAAATAGAATGGCTGGGGCCAGGGAAAAGATGAGTTTGAATGTATTCAACTTTGAATATGTGAGGGAGGGAAAAGACATAGTTCAGAATGAAAGGAAAGGGTTGCTGTAACTGTTGGAAGAAGAATTTCTCCTATGTATAAATTCCATGGATATTGAACCATTGGAAACCATTGGAAAATTCCATGGTTGTTAATCATAACCATGAATACACCTTGGCAAATACATAAGTAATGTATCAGTTGTTTTCTCTTCAGAAGTTTAGTACTTGATAAAACTATAGAAATTTTACAAACAGAAATAGAATTAACAATATATAATTAAATATCTCTAAGAATGAATATTAGAGATAGAGCCACAAAAAAATGTTGGATAGGTCTTTATGAAAAACAAAAAGGATCCTGAACTTAGATCTAAAGCAAGTAGAATAATTTCTTTAGGAGAGAAGAAAACATGACATCGTCATTAGCCTGTGAAAATTTCATGAAAACATCTGTGGAGAATTAAAAGTATAAATAAAGTTGTATGGCTCTATGGGAAAAGCAGCAGCCTCATATAACTACACATTTACAGGGTTTTCCACTTTGTTTATTGTTTGCTTTTTTGTTTATTTTCGTAAAAGACTTTAGTCAGCTAGGCTAGGAACTAAATTTAGGTTTCCATATAGTACAAACTAAGTGTTTAGAGATCACTTCACAAGCACTCAGATCTCTTGCTTGCAAGAGATGGATACAGAAATAAATATGTCATTTATTTGTATTTACAATAAGAAATGTAGTCTCTGCAATTTCTGGACACATGTATTCCGATAGGGTGTTCCCCAACGTTTGAACTCTGAAAGGCAAGAGAATTACATCCAGAAAATTACTAGCTGATCAGATAAGGCTGGTAGACAATTGTGTGATTTAAACCTTCACTGACTCCAACTTTAACTTCCTTCCTCCCTCCCTTTTTCTCTCCCTCCTCTCTCTCTCTCTCTCTCCTTCTTTCTTTTTCTCTGTTTCTCTCACTCTATTGCCCAGGCTGAAGTGCAGTGATAAGGGCTCACTGCAACCTCCACCTCCCAGGTTCAAGTGATTCTTCTGCCTCAGCCTTCTGAGTAGCTGGGATTACAGGTGCACACCACCACGCCCAGCTAATTTTTATATTTTCAGTAGAAATGGGGTTCACCAGGTTGCCCAGGCTGGTTTCAAACTCCTGACCTCAGGTGATCTACCCACTTCAGCCTCACAAAGTGTTCGTATTACAAGCAAGAAACACTGTGCCCAGCCCAATACTTCTCTGTGCCTGTGTCCACAACTGACAGAGCCCTAACCATGGGAGAGAGACATATCAAACAGCCTTCAGCAACTTACCACTGCACAGTATTGGTACATGTTAAAATTTTACTTTGTCTGAAGAGTTTTTCTGTCTCATTGTAAGTTGATTTTATAGTTTAACTCTCATAGAGCAATTTCATCTATCACATAGACAGTGAAGATTTTCTGCAAGGGAAGTGACATAATCAATGAGGGGTTTAGTGATAGAACTTGGTCAGCAGTCTAGAATGAAAGGAAATCTGTGGAGAATTAAAAGTATATAGAACGTAAAAGGTTGTATGGCTCTTTGGGGAAAGCAGCAGCCTCATATAACTACAAAACTTTACTTAATTAAGTTGGCAATAATTAAGTTTTTATCAAGTGTAGTTTTTATCTGTTTTTTGCTGTCTTCCAATACTTGGTACTTTCTCAGCAATAAAACCCAAGCACACAAGAATTTCTGTATGTTGGCTATCTATAAATTTAGCACTATGCGTCTATAGATATTCTGAAAAGCACAAATTAGTTTTAGTCTTATAAACCTATCTAAATATTAAACACGAAATGTGAAAATTTCAGGTCAACCTCCAAACTTTTCTATTTAGACTCTTCTGAAAATGTCCCGTGGATGTTTTTCATACTGTGGTAACTCAGGATTTAATCCATCGCTATTTTCCCCTGGTGCCACAACTAGAGTCCCCAATGTTTTAAACATCTGTGTGAGAATAATGAAGTATTCCTAGAATAAATGTCAAAAAATTAATGATGAATGGCTCACTTGATGAATATTTATGATATAGATTGAATAAGAACAAGTAAGGAAAGATTCTGCTGGGAAATCTTGGGTTTCTTATTAAAAATATATTCATCAGGTAAGCAGACTGACCTCCCAGATTTTTATGAGAATCACCTCTGTCCTTTCACCTTGTGGAATACCTTTTAAGCAGTGATAATCATTTTTTTTTCTTTGTGAGGGTTGGTGTATGGGGAGGATGCATATAGAGACTGATGAGAGAAGACATCAGACCTTAATGATTTTTTTTTTTTTTTTAAGATGGAATCTCAATTTTTTGCCCAGGCTGGGTTACAGTGGTGTGATACCTGCTCACTGCAACCTCTGCCTCCCAGGTTCAAGCAATTCTCCTGCCTCCTGAGTATCTGGCACTGCAGGCATGCATCACCATACTCAGCTGTTTTTGTTGTTGTTGTTGTTGTAGTTTTAGTAGCGATGGGATTTCACCAAGTTGGCCAGGCTGGTCTCAAACCCCTGACCTCAGGTGATCCGCTTGCCTTGGCCTCCCAATGTGTTCAGATTACAGGCATGAGCCACCATGCCTGACCAATGATTAGCAGATTTCATGCCTGACCAGTGCTTAGCAGATTTTTACTCACTCTTACTATCCTGTGTTTAGGCTTTGTCGTCACCAGGTGTTCCCTCCGGAAATAGGGGTGTTGGTGCATCTGTTTGCATATTAACCTAATGGCATCATTCAGCAAATAACCTGAAGAAGTTACAGATATATTTACTGAGATATAAAACATATACCTCATATTTGTTGCACATATAAGACAAACCCAAAAGGAGGTAGAAGACCCTCTTTGTAGCTGCAAGGGGTGTGCCGCACAGGTGGCCCTGGAGTCCCCGCACAGGTGGCCCTGTGCATGCTGTCCAAGAGGCTGGGCCCTGGTCACTTTGTTTCTCACTCAAATGAGTCATGGCACCCAAGTTTCACCAGTACCAGGACAATTCATAATGGTCATGGAGCTCATGTTGGAAAAGTTAGTCAATAGAACAAATATTTTGGGGTCATAGAATAATATTTGAAGATTTCATCAGCGGGAAGATGGGTAGAGTCACTGCATGGCTCATCTATTCTTAGTCTATCCTTTCTGAATTCATGTGTTGCATATATTACTGAATGGTGCTCATTTTTCCTCTTGTAGAGTATAATATACATGACCATTACTATTTCAAACATATCTTTTTCCTGTGTGCAGATCACTCTCGTCACTGTTTTTCCTCATTCACACAATTGACAAGACAGAAGCTTTAAAGGCATTGAATTCCTACTACCCCTAACCCGTCCTGTTCTTTTCCCAGAATTTTTCCTGACTTTTTCTACTGTGTAACAATCACTAAAAATCTAGTAAATTCTATCTTTGCAACATTGAAATATTAATCCCTGAAAATACTTTTAATTTTTACTCAGAGAAAAGCTCTCCAGGCTGTTCTGCAAAGCCCTATTTGTAGCATTTCAAGTAAAATTTGGATAATTATTGTTCTGATGGTTTTGCTGTATTTAAATGGAGCCTGGAGAATCTTATAGAACTGAAAAAGTTTCCAGTATAAGAATGGCAATGAAATAAGCAAAAGAAGAAAAGAAAATGATTTAAGTTTCATGAGATTAAAAAATATCTTCTTTCACTCCTGTTATTTCTTAATCATGAAAAGTCTATATATTGCATTGCAATTTAATGACCTTATATTCCTTTGACAAAGGGCTCTAAGAGTTTATGGAGGAATCTTGCTTATAGAAGTCACAGAAAGAAAGTAAACTCAGCCCTTTTTTCCAACTAAATTTTTATTTGATTCTTATTCTACTGTCTCCCCTACGTTGCAACATATGATTCAAGGCTGCTCTGACTTCACTCACTGTTAAGGTGCACACAGAGCAAGAGAATAAACAGGTGTAATTTTCCTCCAGAAATCTGTTAATAAAGAAGAGGACAATATGATAGAATTGAAAATAAAATCACATTAATTATACTAATATATGTAATATTCCTATTCTTGATTACAGATTATTTTTCATTATCACATGTATGGAAATGGCATTGAGGCACTCACCTTAATGCAGGTGTCAGTCACAAACCAAATGAAGGTTTTATTTAACCTCACTGTAGAACAAGGCAATTTCTGGCAGAGGGAAGAATTGTCGCTGTTTGGTGATGAAGACTTCCAACTCAAATTCGAAGGTAGAATTGGAAAAGGTCAGCGTGGCGACATTGCACTTGATGACATTGTACTTACGAGGAATTGTCTGTCACTCCATGAATCCATGCAAGAAGAACTAGCATTGCCTCTTCCAACAGGTACATTCTGATTTGTGTGTTTTTGGTATTTTTGCATGGTGAAAGGTGAAAGGAAGAAAGATAATGCAAAAAAAAAAAAATAGCATAACCACCCAGTAATTTATTGCTTTTGTAAAGAAAATATAAGATTTTTTAAACTTAAAAAAAATTTCTCAAGCCTTTGGTCATAAAAATGGCTTTCACATTTTCCCCAATCTTTCGTCTGTTTATCAGTTCCCGGCTTCTCTGTTTAGTCAGCTTCCTCTGAGATCAATAAAATAAGACTCCTTTGTTTGCAGTCTCCTTCAGAATTTAATCCTAAACAAACATCTATTCACTTCCAATAAAACATAAGTAAATTGAGGACAGAGTTATTCAATTTTATTTAGACATTTTTGTGGTTATATTTGCCACCTTCTTCATGGACCCATGGGCATGCCAATTTGATACTGAAACAGAGTAGATGATTGAATGTGTCCCTATCCTTTTAACCTAAAATAACTTTTGATTATTAATCTAAAGAATTTTATTCAAATGTTGAGTTAGCAGACGTTCAATATAATTTATACAGAGACAATGTTGTAAGTGGAATTGGCAAGCACCATTAACCAATATAATATTAAAGGTCTGAAATGAAAATAAATGCAAAAAATATTATTAAAATGACAAAGGAATAAATTTTGTTAGGCATTGATATGGCAGATATTTTTCTTTTCTTTTCTTTCCTTTTTTTTTTTTTTTTTTTTTTTTTTGGAGATGGAGTCTAGCTCTGTCACCCAGACTGGAGTGCGCTAGTGCAGTCTGAGCTCACTGCAACCTCTTCCTCCTGGGCTCAATTTATCCTCCTACCTCAGGCTCCTGAATAGCTGGGTCCACAGGCATGCTCCACCACACCCAGCTAATTTTTGTTGTTTTTTTGCAGAGATGGGGTCTCACTATGTTGCCTGTGTTGGTCTCAAACTGCTGGGCTCAAGAGATCCACCTGCCTTGGCCTCCCAAAGTGCTGGAATTATAGGTGTGAGCCACCATGTCCAGCAGATAGTAATTTCTTAAACCATGAGTTTAGTGTGGAAAACAAAAGTGTAGTTTCATTAATATTTAAGTTATATTTATTATATTTGATCAATTTGAAAATGCTTTATTAAACACAAACTAATTTGTTTGCTCTGGCTTGTAACATAGTAGGTGGAATGGGCAATGTTGCCATTTCTGCCTTCCCATTTATTTCAAAGAGAGTATTTTCATTTGGTTACAAGGAAGTTTCTAGATAAATCTTTTCCAGTGGACAATTAGTTAAACATGCTCTTTGCCTGATAGGCTTCTAACTCTATATGGAATAGTGTATAGGAAAGCAAATAAACATTTTAAGACTGTAGTGGAAGGGAAATATATGTAGGTGGATTTAATGCAAAGGTGATTCACATGCCCAGGACTACTCTACTTCTCCAAGAAAATCTTTGCCTTTCATTCTGTGTGGGATGTTTGGTGGCAGATATAGGTTTATGTAAGTCCTGGTCCTTTGTAGAGTAATTATTTGATCATAATAAAAAATAATCTTCTAGGATCCAATTGATGAGGAAGCAAAAGTTTTCTTTTTTCTTTTCTTTTTTTTTTTTTTGGAGAGACAGGTTTTGTCATGTTGGCCAGGCTGATCTCAAACTCTTGAGCTCAAAGCGATCCACCTGCTTCAGCCTCCCAAAGTCCGGAAATTACAGGCAGGAGCCTCCATGCTGAGCTCAAGGGAGCAACATGTTTTTTTTTTCCTAAAAGAACATTAAACCACTTTAAAATTTAATAAGCAACTAATGAACAGGATACAAGAGAAACAAACCAATCTTCTTGGAGATTTTAAGACCTTAAGCTAGTAAAATATTGAATTAGGTCAGTTTTTAGAAAACATCCAACAGGAAAATTTTAAAGTATGTACAAAATAGTATTGATTATACGTTAATTATCAAATTAAGGGTGCACATGAATCATGCAGCCCTCTTTGAATATCAGAATATTTGAGGGGTTGTATTAAAATTTTTAATGAATATATTTTTTTAAAATGTTCTTAAAAAATCATTCTTAAAAATAATAGGAAATGGTAAGTAGGTAGGAAAAAAATGCCCTGATAAGTTTAATATTGAGTAGGATATAACTAAATGCCAGGAGAAATATTTAAACATTATGCAGTACTGAGCACTACATTGTATTCCTTCTGTATAACTGAATGTTTATACCCATTAACCAACCTCTCTTTTTCCCTCCTCCCCACTACACTTTCCAACCTCTGGTAACTACCATTCTACTCTACCTTTGTGCAATCAATTTTTTTAGTTCTCACATATGAGTGAGAACACATGATATTTTTCTCTGTGCCTGGCTTATTTCACTTAACATAATATCGTCCAGTTCCATCCGTGTTGCAAATAGGATAAGTATAATTAATAATTTATTGTATATTTCCAGATAACTAGAGGAATGGATTTGGAATGTTCCCAACATTTAAAAAAATGATAAATATTTGAGATGATGGTGATCCCAATTACCCTGATTTGATTATTACATGTTGCATCCTTGTATTAAAATATCACATATCCCCCTAAGCATGTATATTTATTATGTATCTATAAAGATTAAAAATAAGAATTCCTGGACATGTACAAGTATGAAGAAATAAAAAGAAATTTGGAGAAGAAGCAATAAAAAAGCTTTTATGAGGTTGTAGAGAAAACTAAAGAAAACATTCAGCTGGGGATATCTAATCTGAAATGTATTTACAGGATGCTCAAGAGTTTGGAACCACACTTAGAGCTCATAGGAGGGAAAGATCCCTTCAGTATGTAAGGCAGGGCCGGTGGAATCGGAGCACTGGAGGACCAGATGAAGGATATGCTGCTGAGAGTGTTGTAGGCAGGCTAAAAGGCATAGGAAAGAACAGGGATGGTGTCATGCAGACTGCAGGGTGGGCTGTGGGTGATAATTTGGCTGAGGTGGGCACCTTGTGTAGCTATCTGAGATATTACAAAGGACATAGAGCCAAATTGTGGACCACCTTGAGTATTAGTTTAATTTTTTCTCAGAATGTACCTACGTTGAAAGGTTATTAAATAGTCTTAGAAAACAAAGAATAAACAAAGAATTTAATATAAAAATATAAAAGTTAATATAAAAGGTTAATTGTATTAAATGTTAATATAATTGATTACATTAAAATTAAAAAGTGCTTTCATATAGAGTATGATAACTTATGGGAATATTTTCAGTAGAAAGACTCCAAGAAAAACAACTGAATAACTTTATTTCTATGGTTAGGAGCATGCCAAAAATTGAGATGAGGTACAGTAATATATGTATAGTTATCTCCACTGTAATGCTTACATTCAAGTGAAGCAGATGAAAATAAATGCATGTAGAGTTCACTTTCCTACAAACTACTTGATGTACCTTTAATTGTGCCTTAAGAAACTTTACCTGTTTTTTGGTAAAAATGAAATGCTAAACTTCGTTTAGAGACTCAAGCTGTGAAATGATTTTGAAACATCTTAACTTCATTGTGAGTTTAGAAGACTCTGCAGGCATATGTATATATGCCCTTCCCTAAAAATATATATTAATGTGTGTGTGTATGTGTATAAATGTGTGTGTGTGTGTGTGTGTGTGTGTGTGTGTGTGTATATATATATATATGAAAGTATACATACACACACACACACACACATACACACATATATACTGGGGTTAGTCAGGGTTGGAACGTAGACAATATAAGTCACTCTCAATATTTTAAGCAGAGTGCCGTTCGATGGAGAGAATTTTATGTGTGTAAATTGTTGAAATGGTTGGATAAATGAGCTCTAATGAGGTCTTCCAGAAATGGCTCCCAGCATTGGCTCTCCATGAGACCAACTATTAATAGAGAAGTTACAGGACATCTTTCTTGGTGAGATATATTTCTATCTATATCTATGCATGTCTGTATTTATCATTTATATCTATATGAAGTTGTAGAACATCTTTCTTGGTGAGGTACATCTATATCTATGTATATGTATATATATTTGTATTTCTATATCTAACATCTATCCATATCTATATGGAGGGGAGGGTAAAGCCAGAGGTGCAAATAGTGGTATCTTGAACAAATAAAAAGCCAGAATGTTTATATTCATGGAAGTCGGTGCAAGCAAGTTAAGGAATACCATTAATTTCCAATAGAGTCACAAATGTAAGTCACATATTTACTTTTACGTTTTCTAAGTCACATTTTTTTTAAATGAAATTAATTTTAATAATATATTTTAATTAAGTCTACCCAAGTTTTATCAGCTTAATACAAAATCATGCCTGTAATCACAGCACTTGGGGAGGCTGAGGTCAGGAGTTCAAGACCAGCCTGGCCTATATGGCAAAACCCAGTCTCTACTAAAAATACAAAAATTAGCTGGGTATAGTGGCAGGCACCTGTAATCCCAGCTACTTGGGAGGCTGAGGCAGGGAGAATTGCTTGAACTTGGGAGGTGGAAGTTGCAGTGAGCTAAGTAAGTTCTTGCCATTGTACAGCAGCCTTGGCCACAGAGTGAGACTCCATCTCAAAAAAAAAAAAAAAAAAAAACAAAAAATGGCACCTCAGGGTCAAATGTGAAAGCGTAGACACCATATTCATATTCTAGTGAATTAGGTATTAATATCAGACTCTCCTCTTATTAGCTATGTTTATATAATTTATCTGAGACAGTTTCCTCATCTATAAAGCAGAGATAATTTCCATGTGTTTCATAGGCTCCAAGGCTCTTAAGAATTATAAGAGATAACTGCCCAGGAAATTTATTCAACATCTGACATATGGTAGCTATTTTTCAATAAAAATAATGTCATTTTACATTATCCTATATTTTTTATATTTTTACCTGTATTCTGTAGTTGATGTAAACATTTGACAGAAAACCTCATTTATTTGCATTTTATTAAGAACATGTTTCTTTCATTTGTCTTGGCAAAATTTTATTTCTTGCAGATATCACAAGCATATCCTT